TGAAGAGATAAGCAACAATTTTGTTACAAATAAAAGCCTAGGGTGGCAGGTGGCATGTTAATCATATACAATTTTGTGGCACAGTGATCTAATTGTGTAGTAGGATCAACCAGGGTTGGAAGAAAAACACAAAAAGATATATATATATATATATATATCTTTCATTTATTTAAAAACAAATTTTTTTAGAGAGATTTTTTGCTATAGTGCACATGTGCTCACCAGAGAGAGAAAGTGAGAAACCACCCCCCTGGGTGGATGGCCAAAGCACAATTCCTTCTCCACCATTCTCCTCTTGGGATTTGCACACACGTGCCCAGCGTAAGTTTTAAGCTGCTAGGAACAAGACTCAAATCGCGTTGGTCATGTGGGAGTCCAGCACCGTAACCACTATGCCACCCTCTGGCCCCTATACATACCTTTTAAAAACAACTTGTCTCACTGTACTATGAACGTACTTTTCTTCTCCCCTACACAATGAGCAGCTTGATTAGGGTTGTCATTGTATCCTGCATGCAAAGTACAGTGCCTGATACATACTGGCACTTTACAGTCTTTACATTTAAAATAATAATTTGAAAGCGAATTACTTAAGACAGTGGTCTTGGTCTTTTCTTTTTAAAACTAGGGACCTTACACCAGGAATATGTGCATAGTCATGCACTCACACAAAATGCAATATAATTTCAGGGCATTCATGGGTCATCCGTTCTCTTTGTCCCTTTCATGGATCCCCAGGGGAATCTGGGACTCTCGATTAGAAATTCCTAGGTTTAGAATACACAGTAATAAAGAGAAGTGGAGGAAGTTTAAGAAATATTCTCTCTTCATCCCCGTTTTTCTTTCACAAAAACCCTGCTTCTTTCATCTGCCTCATGCAGGAACTTTTGGCACAGTAAGGAAAAGGGCCTTTTCATGCAGAAATCTTCCCCTGGCAGGTGTAAAAAGAACTTAATTAGGGCTGGCTCTGTGGTGCAGTGATAATGTGCTGCTCAAGAGAAGCCAGATCCTACAGGCGTCTGCAGTTTGAACCCCTGGCCAGTGCTCCTGAAACACTCTGGCCACAACCCACCACCCCATGGCCTAGAGAACTGGAGGGGAGTGGCAGCTAGAGCCTGTGGAGGGTGCCTCTTTCTCTCTCTCTCATGTGATCTACCATGAATAAAGAAAAACAATGTAAGAAGTAGACTTACCTCTATTTATAGATTCATTTACAAATCAGGTATTTGCATTCTGTGTAGAAAAATGCATCTTTGGGTCAGCAGGTGGCACAGAGATTAAGGTGGCTGGATCTCACATAACCAACTGCAAGGTTTGAGTCCTGGACCCGGTGGCTTGGAAAACACACCTAAACTGTGTGTACGGGCCTCAAATTCTGAAAGAATGGAAGAGAAGGGATTGTGGTGTGGCCATCCCTCCTGGGAGTTGATTTCTCACTAACCCTCTCTCTCTCTGGTGAGTACATGTACCCTATTAGCAAAAGCTTAAAAAAAAAAAAGGAAAGGAAAATGCATCTTTATAGCAAAAGGTAAATTTAGACGGTATGATTATTTAACAAACACTTATGAACTATTCACTAATAGTCAAGTACTGTGGAGGACATGGGACAGAAATGACTCAAAGGATCACACTATGGTGGGGTGCATGCATACATGATAAGCTTGAGAACTGGAATCAGCTTTTTGCCTTTGTGTGCGTGTGATGAAGACGGTTGTGGGTGAACTGGGCAGAGAGCAATTGTAAATTCAGTATGGAAGAAAACCACTTTTATCTGCTGTAAGAACCTTTGACTTGATTATGGTCACATAATCAAGGGTTAGTCTCCCTTCCTCTGTTCCCAGAGTCTCCACAAGAAAGCTGATAATTCACCTCTGAAAAGCGTTGGCTGATACAGAGGAGGAGTAAAGCAATGTGTAAACTGTAAGTGATGTACCCTGCATAATGAGGAAGCCGAAATCCTCCAAATGCCATTTCTATGATCCAACAGTGAATGTTTCTCCTGAGTGGGGTTTTCTGCTGATAATCGTATTAATTGTTGCATCTTAAACTTTGGATGAGACATAAATATGATTTGTAGCCCAGCTCAGTGGCACAGTCCATAGCAGGCTGGACTGCAGTGTTGGAAGCCACGTGGTCAACTGTGGTCAACTATTCCCCTGCTTAGTCTGAATATAGGTGCACACCCTGAGGAAGCTGGGGAAAGGGGAACGTGGCATGACAAGGTCTTGTCAGGGGTGTGTGCTTTCTATTATGTGCACGCGCATCATCTAAAAATAAAGAAAGAGGACCAGCAGGTGGCATAGAGGTTAAGGCATGGATCTCCCATGGTCGACTATGTAGTTTGAGTCCTTGACTGAGCAGCTTGAAAATCATCCTGGGTGCATGTGTGTGCATGCCCAAAATTCCAAGAGGAAAATAGAGAAGGGACTGTGGTATGGCCTTCCCCCCATGGGGTGATTTCTCATTTTCTCTTTCTCTGTCTCTGGTGAGTGCACACACTCAATAGCAAACAAACAAACAAACAAACATAAAGAAAGAAACAAAAAACTCAGAAAGTGACCTGCTCTACTCAAGGGGGAATCCCCTCTGTAACTCTTCCTGGCACTTACAGGTTTTTTCTGAATACTTATTAACAGCAGCAGAATGTATTTTTTTCCAGAATATATTTTTAATTAGCAATAATGATTAGAAACTACTTTCTCATACTATACTAAAGCCTCTTCATAGTTCCCACACATTTCTTTTTTTAAAAAAATAATTATTTTAGCATTTATTTATTTTAGTTTGACCAGAGAGGGACAGAGAGAAAGTGAGAAAGCAAGTTGCCAGGTCTGAGACTTGAACCACAGCCAGCCATGTGGGAGTCCAGCACCCTCAACCACCCTGCCACCCGTCGGCCCCTCCCAGACATTTCTTTACACTTTGAGTTTTGAAGCGATGAAGAATTGGCCTATTCTTGCTCCCATATCCTTCAAGTATAGGAAAACAATTATCATTTGTATGTCTGAATTCATCTCCAGACAGAACTTCCATAATTCTTTTATGTATTCCTCGAGAAGTATTTCAAAGTCATCACATTCTTGTTCCTCCTCCTTCAAACACTGTTAATCTTTGGTCAAAGTCTGGTTAAAACGTGACTCCTAGAGTGGAAGATGATGTTCCAACAGTGATTGATCTGAGCACACTGGAGCCCAGAGGGATTCTTTTTATCTGTACATATACTTCCATGAATACGCTCTGAAAAGGCCTCAGTTCTCCCTTCCTGTTTCCCTCTCCAGGTATGCTGAAATATAGGCTTATTTTGGAATTCGATAAAATAAAACCGCTGTCTTTTTTTCCTGAGTACCACTATCAAATTAGTTTTCCCTCCTTTTATCTTGCGATGGGATATGTCTAACTTTAAGTCTGTCTCCACATTGAAATAATTTAAAATCTTAGTAACATATGTAATCATTCCAGTTGTTATATGTACATTTAATAATAACTTTTTATGGAATTTCTTTTCAAAGGACTTAAAATTTCTTTCAGTTTAATGTGAACCATTATTCAACCTTCTTAGGCTATTTCAATAGATAGAAAGCTACATGGCTACTAACCAATGTTAGCCACAATGATGCCAATACAAATGTCAGCTGTCGTGTTGGATTCATGAACGTTGTTTCTTTAAACCACTTGTAGCCATAGAGTTTCTCTAATGGAAAATGCTAGCGATGTTGTATCATGAGGGTAAAATTTTCGATGAGCCTCTAGACTCTATGAAATAAGCAGCTAGAAAAGGCAGGTAATCACTTGGGTGGATCTGTTTGGCAAGTTCACCATTCAAGAGGACTGAAAAAATTAACTTTGGACATTGTTCTTCAAAGAAAATAAACATATGTGTACCTTTTTTAGCTTTTATTTTCACCAAACATTTTGTAAGGAAAAGCATATTCAATTCCAAGGGGCTATCCAATTTGAGATGGGAGACACAGGACTGCAACAACATTGCATTGACCTAAAGCTTTGGACATCGATCTACGGAGATGACGTGCAGTTTCTTCTAGTATATTTTGGGCTGACTTGTGTGATGAGCGTTTGTTACGGCCTGAATGTTTGTGTCTCCCCCAATTCCTATGTCGTAGCCAGCTCCTCTACTTTGATGTTATCAGGAGGGGGGGGCCTTTGGGAGTGAAATCATACTTTACATGAAGCTGTGAGGGTGGAGACTTCATGACAGGATAAGTACTCTTACAAAAAGTGATACCACAGGGCCATCTGCACGTCAGAAAGAGGGCCCTCGGCAGGAGCGGAATCTGTCAGCACCCAGATTGTGAACCTTCTCTTGCTCTGAAATTGTGGGAAAGCAACGTCCGATTTTTAAGCCATCTATCTGGTCCACGCTATTTTGTTATAGCAACCTGAACTGAGACAGTATTTTAATTTCATTTTTCATACATGGTCCTCGGAGCATGAAAATTTACACTTGTGGACAATAGAAAAAAGGAAAAAAAAGATCATATGCAAACCAGCTGGATCCATCAAGAAGGCAAAGTCTCTACAGATCTTTAATTCCTACACAAAGGTTTTAGCAAATGGTGAAGTCGAAAATTAAGCCATTCCCTTACTCATTAAGCATTTACAATACAAAATGCTATCAGTATTTTTTCTTTGAAGAACTATTTTCTGTTTTGGCCTCTGCCCAGTGCAGTCTGTCATCGTAAGGACTACCGATATTCCCGTTTCGTCATGTTAGCACTGGAAAGGCAAGACCTTGGGGGTGAGTGAGTAGCTCGAGTGATAACTCTGCAAGACCCTGTTAGTTATTTAGGTACCATGCAACATTTATACCAGAGGAGAAAAAACTCTGTATCAGGTGGCATAACATCAAGATTCTTCTTTCTCTGCAGCATCTTAAAATTAAACCCTTAGGAATCAGGACCAGTGCACATTTGTGTAAGATGTTTAAGAAACTTGCCCTCAGCAGCATGTCCGGGGGAGAAAAAAAACCACAACAGCCCTGAAACAGGTCTAAATTTCCTGGATCTATGACCAAGAGCGACTTTATTATACATGACTCAGTCCATAAATCTGAAGTGTACATCTGCCCCGTGACAATTTTTATAGCGACTCACCAGAATGCCTCAGTGACACTTTATGCTCTGATCCAGGAGAAAGAACAAGCAGATGAACGGCCACATGCAAACGGGCTTCAGAAAGCCAGTCCTTACTTTTGACTTACGCTAGTGAATAGTTTTTGTTTGGTGTTTGATGTTGTTGCTGTTCTTTGGTAGATTTTTATTAGAGGTAGGCCCTACATAAAAAGAACATCATAGCACTATTGCTCTCTTAAGCATTTCAGTTTTAACATTACAAGTGTGAAAGAAATGTGAGCATATTTTGTGGATAATAATATAACTTTATTGTGTGTAGCCTTTTCCATATCAATTATTAGTTTTTTCCCATGTGAAATGAGAGTTAAAGTAGTGGTTATTTATTGTTAGAGAGACATACTGGGAAATAGAAAAAGCTGAAGAGAGTTTTCTTGTCTTTGTTTTGTTTTTCTTGGTCTGAAACTGGAAAATAGAAGAATCTGGGGAAAAAATATGGGAAAACTAGCATAGGTTGCTAAGACCACAAAAATATTTGGGGACTGGAGGCCGTGACACCGAGGAAGGGTGGGAGAAGGGCTAAGCAAACTCTCAGAAAGGAGGGGATTTCGCGTGGATGTTATCTTAAGGTATTTGCTTGGCAATTATATTCCTAGAATCACCTTCTGGGTGGCTATAACTCTTGATTTTTTCTGTTGTCTATCATTTTATTATGTAACATAGTAATTCTTTTATTTAGCACAAAGTCCATCTAGATTGGAGAATACATAGGTTCTAACTTTGTCCCTGACCATCAAAGTCATACCTCAGCTATTGGAAACAGCTGGAAGACCTACGCAGCGTACATTTAAAGTGGTTTATGAAGAATTATCCTATCTCGGTTTTTATTGAGTAGACTTGCAGAAGAAAAATAAATACTGTGAGTTTACAGGTCTGTTGCAGAATTGGATTTAGGACCACAATCAGAAGGATTAAAGAAAGATCCAAAGGTTCACTTAAAATAAAAATCACCAGAAAAAAAAGCCTATGGAAGAGCTCTTTCCCACAGGGGTCTAAGCACATGTTCTAATTCAGGGCTGCTGTCCTCAAAGCTTCTGGCCAGACTTCACTTCTCTCCTGGAGTTTCTGAACTCTTAAACCCCCCATCAGCTTCCACTCTCCTCCCATGGCACCTTCAATCTCCTCCCATGGCATCTTCAATAGTTGTTTGGGACATGTCAACTGGCCTCTCTGGGCAAGGTGCTTAGTAAAGGAGGCAAGTCTCTAGTGCTAATTAGAAAATGAGAATAGAAAAATATTCTTGGACTTGCTTTTGCATTCTAATTGTAAACATGTCAAAGGACTGACAATCTTAGAAGCTGAAGTGGAAATGAGCCTCTAAGTCAAAGTATAAAATCCTGCAGGAAAGATACAAAAATTTACAATGTCCATTACACCAGTCTGGTTAAATCTCATCATTTTTTGATACTCTGACTGGACTTTAGACAGAAAAGACAAATCGAAATGGTAGAACATAATTTAAGTGTGCCAGAGAGTCAGGAACCATGAGGCCTGAGATGCAAAGATAAATGTGTTTTCCTCTGGCCTTAAGGTATGAGGCAAGGGTGGGGTCACGCCTGACTGTGAGACAGGGATCCAAGCTGAAGCAAGACTCCAAGAAGTACCTACCAGAGAAACGTGATGATTCATTTATCATAGAAATCCCAAGTACAAAACTTCAAGCTATAAGAAGGATCAAATTATTTCATGTATATGATTCAATTTAAAAATCCTTAGCCCTCTTACATTATAGTAACTAGATTAGAATAGTAAAAAAATCAAATTACATTCATATGAAACTTTTATAAAAAGACATCAAATCCATTTTTATGAAATTTTATAGTATAATTATTTTCTAGTGGGTCTTTTCTTAGGTCACAGTATTTATAATTCCATTTACATTTGTGTAATTAAAAAAATTAAAAATACAAAAGGAAATCAATAGAAATCTAAATGTGCATTTGCAAAACTCCCTTCAGTTTCCAGGCCAGTAACACATGGTGATGTCGACTTGTCCCCCAGACATGGACGGCTACCAGAGATCCCTGTTTACGGAGCGTGCAGGCCTCGACTCATTAGGAATGCTTTTTGGTTTGGCTCACGTTGCAAGAAATTCTGGAGCATGTCCATGCCGTCCAGAGATCCCCCGGGTTTCAGGATTAGGTTTCTGTATTTCATTCCAACCTAATAAAATAAAACATCATGCCTAATAATTCATGGTTACAGCAATTTCCCAAATCTCTAGATGCAACAGAGAAAAGGATAGAGGGTGAAGAAAGAGAGACTAGGTTTACTCTGTCTAGATATTGTCTTTGACTACACTACAGTTTTATACTAGTTATTTATTTTGGTAGTTAAGAGATTTGGAGCCTAAAACTTCAGGTCATCTACACAGTCCTTTGTTACTGTCCTGTCTCTTTAGATTCTTAATAGTGAGCTGACAATACGTGCAAACTGATTCCAAGATAGAACGGAATACAGACAGTGTTTCTCTTGTGACCCCTTCTCAAATGGTATTTCAAAAGCTTTGTGGGACCAGCAGTTAGCGTAATGGCTATGTCGCTGGACCCCCATGTGGTTGACAGCGGTTCGTGTCCCGGACCCAGTGGCTTAAACTCATGCCGGGCGCATGTGCATGCCCAAGATCCTGAGAGGAGAATGGAGGAGAAGGGATTGCAAGGTGACCATCCCCCCTGGGGGGTGATTTCTCACTTTCTATCTCTGTCTGTCTGGCGAGCGCATGTGCCCTATAGCAAAAACCTCTCCAAAAAAAAAAAAAAAAAGCTCTGTCAAGTAAATGTTCGAGAAGGCTACCAACAGGACACCTGAGTACCTGGAAACAACTCATTTACTGACAAATGGCTTCAGCTGCTTTTATGGGGGGGGGGCCTCATAAAAAAAAACAAAAACAGAAAAGAAAGAAAAGAAAAAAGGCCATCTTCCCTATGCTTGGTGGGAGGGAGAACAACACCTGGTCCCCCAGGGCAGGGTAAGACATTTCTGTGGGCCCAGCACTGGGAATGAGGACCCTTGTAATGGTCTCTTTGGGGTGGAGGTTTGGAATTTTAAAACATATCACAGTTCCTCTGCCTTTATTTACATAAAGATGCCCGGGGGGTCTTTTCTCACTATCTCTGTCTCTCTCTGTCTTTCTGGCAAGCGCACACGTGCCCTAAAGCAAAAACCCTCCAAAAAAAAAAAAAAAAAAGCTCTGTCAAGTAAATGTTCGAGAAGGCTACCAACAGGACACCTGAGTACCTGGAAACAACTCATTTACTGACAAATGGCTTCAGCTGCTTTTATGGGGGGGGGGCCTCATAAAAAAAAACAAAAACAGAAAAGAAAGAAAAGAAAAAAGGCCATCTTCCCTATGCTTGGTGGGAGGGAGAACAACACCTGGTCCCCCAGGGCAGGGTAAGACATTTCTGTGGGCCCAGCACTGGGAATGAGGACCCTTGTAATGGTCTCTTTGGGGTGGAGGTTTGGAATTTTAAAACATATCACAGTTCCTCTGCCTTTATTTACATAAAGATGTGAGCAAATAAAATGAAAGAAAACAGCTGTTACTCAGAGTCAGCATTATTCAATATTTCTCTTCCCTCTCACTGTCCTTTTAGGGAAGCAAGGCAAAAACAATTCAATGAAGCATAATCCTAATTATGCACACAAATTAAACAGCTCACAGAGTAACACGTTTATATATTGAATACATTATATTCAATAAGACTAATTCATCTCTGAACGTTTTTATTTCTTCCATGACAGAGAAGAAAAGAAAGGCACCCACGGCTGGTCTCCATGTGCCATCCACACAGGCCTCGGTCCGCCAGGTTCACTGGTGCGCACATACAAGCACATGTATGGTGTGACCCTGGGTCACAAACCTGAGACTCTCATGTGGCTTCAGCAGCATGGGGCACCATATTACTGCTGTTCCACTGTGGCTGTCCTAATCATCTTTTTGAGTACAAGAAATCCTAGGGATTTACAGAGACTGAAATAATCTAACTTTTGACCTGTAAGAATATTCTACTTGACCCAACCATCAGAGATGAGTCTGGTTAAACTGGTAAGGAAAATAAAACATGGATGAAATCTATCAAGTTAGGTACAAAACTACATAATGTCCTAGTGAGTCATAAAATCAAAATTTGGGGAGTTAGCTGTTGGTTATGAAGATAAATAATTTGCGAGTAATCAATCATCTATAGGATAACATTTAACTTCATAGTCTGGATTTTACTCAGTAGCAAATCCGTACTAAAACAAAGTTACCTTCTCATAAACTCTAGGGTAGCACCAATAGAAACATAACCAGACACATTAATAACTTTAAATTTTCTACTAACCATATTTTTAAAAGTTTTTATGGGACCAGCAGATGGTGGAATATTTACATCACTGGATTCCCACTCTAATCAATTGTGGTTCAATTCTGGACCTGGTTGCTTAAAACTCATGTCAGGTGGGCGTGCATGCGTACCCATATCCTGACAGGAGAATGGAGGAGAAGGGATTATGGCATAGCCATTACCCATGTGGGGAGTGATTTCTCGCTCTCTGTCTCTGTCTCTGTGGCGAGTGCATGTACTCTATAGCAAAAAATCTATCAAAAAAAAAGAACTTTTGAAAAGGTAAAATTAATTTCAATATTTTAAACCATAGTATCCATTATCATTTCAACATGTATCAGTATTCAGATGATTGAGATTTTATTTCATAGTAAGTTCTCAAAACCCGATTTGTTTTCTCCATTTATGACACAACTGAATTCAGTTCTTCCTTTGTGCTAGCCTCATGTCAAGTGCTCAGAAGCCACATGTGACCACTGCATTTGACAGTCCTAGGCCATACAGTCTAAAATGAGAGCCTGTCAGATAGTCCGGGAGGGCTTGTCAGTCAGTCTTCTAGTATGACATCGAAAGACAAGAGGGCTGGCCCGGTAGCCTAATAGTTAAGGGATACGGATCATCCATGGCTGACGCAGGTTTGAGTTTGAGATCCACTGGCTAAAAACATATGCTGAGTGCATGTGTGTGTGTGCCCATCCTGAAAGGATGAAGAAATGGAGGAGACGGGATTGCAGTGTGGTATGCCCCCCTATAGGGAGTGCTCCCCCTACCTCTCAATCTGGCTCTCTGTCAAAAATAAAGGTGAAGAAAAGGCACAGAAGCAATCTTGTTGCCTTATTCACAAGTTTTGGATAAATTTTCTTTAAAAGAGAGAGACTGGACTCACTGATATAAAATGTCCTAAAAACTCTGGTGATCAGGGCTTGGAGCTAAATTCAATTTGCTTTAGGGGAAAAAAAAGGCCTTTTTTTTTTTTTTTTTGCTTGGTCTATAGCAATTCATTACCATTACTACAGCAGCAATCTAGAAACAAAAATGTAAATGATGGCTATTCATGGCATACTTCACTATTCTAAGAAAGAACAAATTGGGGACTAATAGTTAGCATAATGGCTATGTCGCTGGACTCCCATGTAGTCAACTGCGGTTCGCTTCTTGGACCCGGTGGCTTAAAACTCACGCCGGGTGCATGTGCGTGCATGGCCAAGATCCCAGGAGGAGAAGGGATTGCTGCGTGGCCATCCCCTGGGGGGCGTTCTATCTCTCTGTCTCTCTGTCTGGCAAGCACACGCGCCCTATAGCAAAAG